GGGCAACAAGAGCGAAACTCCATCTCAAATAAAGGAAAAGAAAAAGAAAAAAAAGTGCCGCCTTAGGCACCTGGGGTACAGCAGTGAACAAAACACTGATTTCCACAAAAAAAATTTCCTTTCTAGCGGGGGATGGGGGATGGACAGGAAGTAGATCACTTCATCAATCAGGTATAACACAGAGGAACGCAGCCAGTAGGGGGTATGTATGAAGCAATTTGTTGCAAGGAATTGGCTTACAGGATTGTAGGGCTGGCTAAGCACCTTCAAAATCCATACAAAGGGCACCCGTGGGAAGTGCAGGCTGGAGCTTTGGGCGTGAACTGAAGCCGCTCTCTACAGGTGAAAAAAAAAGGAAGCTTCGGCTCCGCTCTGAAAAACTTTTGACTTATTGTAGCAGGTCCACTCAGATGATGATGATGATTATTATTATTATTTATAGAGATGGAGTCTTGCTCTGTCACCCAGGCTGGAGTGCAGTGGCATGATTTTGGCTCACTGCCAACCTCCGCTGCCCCGGTTCAAGCAATTATCCTGCCTCAGCCTCCCGAGTAGCTGTGATTACAGGCACCCACCACCACCCCCAGCTAATTTTTTGTATTTTTAGTAGAGAGGCAGGGTTTCACTATGTTGGCCAGTCTGTCTCGAACTCCTGACCTCAGGTGATTCGCCTGCCTCGGCCTCCCAAAGTGTTGGGATTACAGGCGTGAGCCACCGCACCCGACCCCCTCAGATTATCGAGGATAGATTTCCTTCCTTAAGGTAAACTAATTATAGACTTTAATCACATCTACGAGATATCTTCACAGCAGCAGCTAGATTCATATTTGACTGAATGACAGGACAGCGGTCTAGACAAGCTGACACGTGAAACTGACCATTGCAACCAGAGACATAAACTACTCAGCTGCGCGGCACGTTAGATGATGATAAGTGCTAAGGAGGAAAGAAAAGTAGAGATGGGTTGGAGGGATCAGGAATATGTGGGTGGGAAGGCCTCGGGGAGAAGGTGACCTTTGAGCAAAGGCTTGCAGGAAGTGGCAGAGTAGGCTATGTAGGTAGGTATCTGGGCCAAGAGCTGTCCAAGGAGCCAGAAGGGTGAATGCAAAGGCCCCGAGGCCAGAATGTTCCAGAAGTGTTCGGGGAACAGCTTAGAGGACAAAATGGCTTGAGAAGATTGAGCAAACGGGAGAGGGTGGGAAAAGAGCCAGACTTGGGTGAGAGGCAGATTGCGTGGGGCCTTGTGGGCCGAGATGAGGATTTTGGCCTTTAGTCAGAGTAAGACAGTGACCACAGGAGGGCTCGGAGCAGAGGAGGGAGGTGAGCTGGCTTGTGTTTTAATGGGATCACTTTTGTTGAGTTTTAAAAATATACTCTTGGCCGGGCGCAGTGGCTCACGCCTGTAATCCCAACACTTTGGGAGGCCGAGGCAGATGGATCACTTGAGGTCAGAAGTTTGAGACCAGCCTGGTCAACATGGCAAAACCCCGTTTCTACTAAAAATACAAAAATTAGCCAGGCGTGACAGCAGGCACCTGTAATCCCAGCTACTCGGGAGCCTGAGGCAGGAGACTCGCTTAAACTTGGGAGGTGGAGGTTGCAGTGAGCCAAGATCATGCTACTGCATTCCAGCCTGGGCGACTGAGCGAGACTCCATCTCAAAAACAAAAAGAAAAGAAAAGAAAATATACTCTTTTTTTTTTTTGAGACAGTCTCCCTCTGTTGCTCAGGGTGGAGTGCAGTGGTGCCTTCTTGGCTCACTGCAAACTCTGCCTCCCAGGCTCAAGTGATTTTTGTGCCTCAGCTTCCCGGGTAGCTGGGATCACAGGTGTGCGCCACCATGCCCTGCTAATTTTTGTATTTTTAGTAGAGATGGGGTTTTGCCATGTTGGCCAGGCTGGTCTCGAACTCCTGGCCTCAAGTGATCCACCTGCCTCGGCCTCCCAAAGCGCTAGGATTACAGAAATGAGCCACTGTGCCCAGCCTGAAAATAGAACCTAAGGGGTTGAGAGTAGAAGGAGGAAGATCATTGAGGAGGTGACTGCAGTACTCTGGGTGAGAGGTGGTGGGGCATTGGAGGGTAGTGCACTGGAGAAGAGATGGCCAGATTTGGGATGGATGTTGAAGCTAGAGCCAAGAGGATTTACTAATGAGTGTGAGATTTCTGTTTTGGACTGGATAAGAGGGAGGGAAGGAAGGAAGGAACGTGGGGAGGGAGAAAGGAGAAAGGAAGGAGGGCAGAGGAAGAAGGCAAAAACGACAGATGGAGAGACACATTAAGAGAAAATCTGGATCAGGCACAGTGGCTCATGCCTGTAATCCCAGCACTTTGTGAGGCCTCGCAGGGAGGATTGCTTGAGGCCAGGAGTTCGAGGCTGCTGTAAACTATGACCACTCCACTGCATTCCAGCCTGGGTGACAGAGCAAGACTTTTTGTGGGAGGGTAGAGAAATGGAGAAACTGAATGATAAACCTAAAAGTGATCTCTCAACATTCTCAGTACAAATTACAAATAAAGACTTTTGTTAATAATGTGATCTTGGCCGGGTGCAGTGGCTCACTCCTGTAATCCCAGCATTTTGGGAGGCCAAGGCGGGTGGATCACCTGAGGTCAGGAGTTTGAGACCAGCCTGGCCAACATGGCAATCCAGGTATAAAGCAGCCTCCACCACCAGTCCCATCATAATCCCTCTGAGTACCGGGGACACTGTCCCTGTTGCTCTCTGAACTGCTGTGCACTTTGGCAGAGATCC